GGTATCGTCAGAGTTGCTGCTGGACGCACGGACTTGCTGCTGACCTATTTTAGTGCTGAGCGCCGGCACCTTCCTAAAGGCACGACTGTCGCTGACTTCGACGATGTCGTAGATGCCGAAGGCTGCTTGGCGGTAGTCGACGAGTCGCTAAATCTTGATTCAGTGCCTGTTCTGGACGTTAGCATTACTTGGCCAAAAGACGATCGACGCAGACTCCTTGAGCTACTGGCCAAATTTCGAGACTGCTTTTCGACAACATCAAGAGTTGGCCGCACGCCTCTAACCAGGCATCGAATAATTACCGAGAAAACGGCGAGACCTATTCACGAGAACCTGTATCGCGTGGCTCCAAAAGAAGGTGAAGCGATACAACAGAAGGTAGACAGAATGCTTGAAGATGACGTCATTCAGCCTTCACAGAGCCCCTGGGCGTCGCCTGTTGTCCTCGTTAAGAAAAAGGACGGCAGCCTGTGCTTCTGTGTGGATTACCGGAAGCTAAATCAGGTGACCAAGAAAGACGTATATCCACTACCGCGTATAGACGACTCTCTCGACAGACTTCGACATGCTCGATACTTCTCTTCAATGGACTTGCGGAGTGGATATTGGCAAATCGAGGTGGACCCGAGAGACCTCGAGAAGACCGCTTTTGTGACACCAGATGGGTTATATGAATTCAAGGATTTGCCGTTCGGTTTGTGCTCAGCCCCTGCTACCTTTCAAAGACTCATGGATACCGTGCTTTCTGGGTTGAAGTGGAAAACATGCTTAGTATATCTGGACGACGTCATAGTGTTTTCCGCGACGTTTGACGAGCACCTTGAAAGACTTGAGGTGGTCTTACGAGCCATACAGTCTGCGGGCCAGACGTTGAAGCCTGAGAAGTGCCACTTTTGCTACTAAGAGCTGCGATTTCTTGGTCATGTCGTCAGCCATGCTGGTGTTTGTCCCGATCCAGAAAAAATTGCAGCCGTAGAACAGTTTCCTATGCCAACCGATAAAAAGGCTGTCAAACGCTTTCTCGGCCTCTGCGCATATTATCGACGATTTATCGTGGACTTCGCACGCATAGCATCACCGCTAACTCGCCTCACGAGAGAAGACGTCACCTTTGAGTGGAATAACGAAGAGGAAGCTGCTTTTAACGATCTTCGCCAGTGACTACAACACCTCCAGTCCTTGCACACTTCGACGAGAGAGCCCCTACGATGCTTCACACCGATGCTAGCAATGTTGGTCTGGGAGCTGTGCTTGTGCAGCAGCAAGAGGGTACAGAAAGGGTAATCGCTTACGCAAGCAGAACGTTAACACGCGCTGAGGCTAATTACTCCACGACTGGGAAGGAATGTCTCGCCATGGTATGGGCGGTTACAAAATTTCGTCCATATTTATATGCCCGCCCCTTCAAAGTAATTAGCGACCCCCACTCACTGTGTTGGTTAACTAATCCTAAAGACCCTACCGGCCGATTAGCGCGTTGGAGTCTCAGGCTGCAGGAATTCGATATGGCAGTCGTACATAAGTCAGGGAAGCGACATATGGACGCCGACTGTTTGTCCTGTTCACCCATTGAGTCGGCAACCCTACCTGAGGAGGAGGAAACATCATTTCTCGGTGTCCTCGACACGACCACTATTGCGCAGCAACAACGAGACGACGCTGAGTTTCTTGGCTTAATTACCTATTTGGATAGCAGATCTTGGAAGGCACCAAGATTTTTCGCAAGAGCGTTGTCATCGTTTTGTTTACGTGGCGGAATACTCTACAAAAGAAGTTTTTCATCGACGGGATCTGCCTATCTACTCGTCATCCCAGCAGCCCTTCGCACCGAAGTACTGAAAGCATGCCACAACGAGGTTACCTCTGGCCACTTGGGTTACACGAGAACGTTGGCCACGGTACAGCAAAGGTATCACTGGCCAAGACTAACCACAGCCGTGAAGCACCACGTTCGTACCTATCTCGACTGCCAGCGACGCAAGTCACCGCCAACTAAACCAGCTGGCCTCCTGCAACCCGTACAGGTGCCATTGACTCCATTCCAGCAGATCGGCATGGACATTTTGGGCCCACTCCCAACTTCTACTGCAGGCAACCGACGAATTATCGTCGCGACGGATTATTTGACCCGTTATGCCGAGACAAAGGCTATCCAGAGAGGTACAGCAGTGAAGGTGGCAAGATTTTTCATCGAGAATATTGTACTGAGGCATGGTGCACCAACCGTCGTAATCACAGACAGAGGAACCGCATTTACGGCAGCTCTTTTGGGCCATGTTTTGACGCTGAGTGGAACAACGCATCGTAAGACCACCGCATACCACCCTCAAACGAACGGGCTGACAGAGCGTCTAAACAAAACCATTGAAGACATGCTTTCGATGTACGTAGACGTCGAACACAAAAATTGGGATACAATCTTGCCTTACATAACGTTTGCATACAACACGGCCAAGAAAGAAACGACCCGCATGACACCTTTCAGCCTCGTTCACGGTCGCGAAGTACGAACCATGTTAGATGCAATGTTACCGCACGAAGGCGACGACATTGTCCCGGACGCCGACACGTTTAGGGAAGGCGCAGAAGAAGCTAGGCAACTTGCACGTTTACGGATCAGCCAGCAGCAAGACTACGACGCAGGCTGCTACAATGCTCACCGCAGAATAGTCGTCTACCAAACTGGCGACAAACTATGGGTTTGGACGCCCGTACGAAAACGAGGACTTTCCGAAAAACTCTTAAGAAGATACTTTGAACCGTACCTAGTGCTGCGACGACTGAGCGATGTCACTTACGAAGTTGTTCCCGACTGTTCGTATAGTACATGGCGTCTCCAGCACCATCCTGAACTCGTTCACGTAGTCCGCATGAAACCTTACGTCAGCGAGTGATTGCGTGATACTTTACTTGAGAAAAAAAACTGCATTACAGACTGCGCATCGGGGCGATGCTCTTTGAGAGGGAGGCAAATGACGTGTGTCTACATGTGGATGATAACGATGATGGGGCATTTAGTGGACACGAGGTAGTGGGCCTCTAGCTTCTCTTGAGGCCGGAAAAGACGATCTTGTAGCTCAGCTGTTGAGGACACGCTGCTTTCGTCGTCCCAAGGTGTACCTGTGTTTTATTCTCGTTGTACCGCGACAAGATTATATATATATATATATATATATATATATATATATATATATATATATATATATATATATATATATGAATATATATATAACGCACGCTTTGACCTTGCATCCTACACGCCGATCCGCCAACGTTAGATAAATTGTCTCTGGTGGCTGATGCATGGCTGTGTTGCTGTGATCGCTCTAAGCAACGCTGGTGCGTGACTTGCAATGGTGCTTTGCTGATGACGGCTCAGGTGGTCGTGATGACTAGATCTTGGTGGTCTGTCCCGGCCACGCGGCGGCTTGGTTTGCGCAGACAGAACTGTGTCTTGAGGACGAAACTGGAAGTACAGCGATGATTGGTAGTGGTTATGCGGGAACTTTTTGCGGACAGCTAGCAAACACACCTGTCGTGGTGAGCCTCGGCTGTGTCGTAGAGTGAGTGCCAGACGCAGCGCACTAGAAGAAGGTTGACGCTTCTTCGAGATAGATGACACGTCAATTGAAGTGATTTCAAAAGGAAGAGAAGAAGATAAAGATGAGCCCCGTAAGTGTCTGCATTATAGTGCGACACCTGAGCAGTAGCTCACGAGGGATGGGGGTAAGGAGGGATTAGAATGAATAGGGATTATAAAAAGAGATTGAGATAGAGATGAGGACATCCACATACAGAAGCAAAGAGCAGATAGAGAAAGATGGACACGGTTGAAGGAGTCCGAGGGCTGGGCACCACTCGGCGAGAGCTTCACAGCGTCAGGAGATGGCGGAGGGTTAGCCGTTTGGCCAGAGCTGCGCTGTCATCGGAGATGGCGGAGGCACAACCGGGTCGGCACGGAATCCAGTGAGCGTCTACATGAGCTCCGTTAACAGCTAAAGGGTAACATTTGTATGCGTGTCTCTTGACGGTAGGTGATCAGGTGTACATACGGTAAACGAATGCTCTTTAGTTAGCAGAGGTGGCTCCGATTGGTTTGCGAGCATAGTAACGCGTGTCATGAGCTCTTCTTTTACGAAATGCAGGCCGTAAACGAGAGGCACTGGCACCTGCGCGATGGTTGTCATGGTCTTGAGCAACATCGCAGGGTTACAGTTCCCTGCAGAGAATCCTGCTCGCGTCTGCTGTCGTCGTCTTTCCCGCATCCTTCTGCGTTGTTCTCGTTGAGATGATGGCTGCGGATATGTTGAGCACCAAGGTTGTCCCTCTGATGAAATTTATCATGAAGCTTAACGATAGGTGCCTTGGGCTCTCCTGGCACTTTCACTCTAGGCGCGTCAAGCCCGAGAGGAGCTGGTGTCTGCGGGCGCCATAGGGAAGGTGAATATTGGGCCGGCTGTTCCAATTGCACTGGACCTCGGCCTCTCTCAGTGAGGTTATGGCGTCGTGTACAGGATCAGAAGCGAACGCCAGCAACGGAGTGTAGGGCATGCTTCGGACGTCTTTTATGGAGCAGCCAAGTAAGCACTTCGGTATAGGGCTCGAGGGCACCGGTGAGCCATCAAGGGGGTGCCACACGTGAGCTGAATTGCAAATAGAGGGTAGATTCGGGGTCACCATAACTGTGGCATTGAAGTTGTGGAGTGGACCTCATAGCTCTCATGCGAAGTAGATAGTTCGTTGGTCGAAATGTACTCACAAGTATAAAAAGTGGGCGAAAAATATTGGTCAGTCTCGTACAGCACTATGACAAAGATCGTTGTGTGACGCTTTCGTAGGCATGCCACACCTAGGCTGAATCACAAATTGGTCGATGGCAATCAGCCATTTGCGATGTTCTGGCCGACCAAGGAGGATGCTGAGAGAATCATTAGTTTTGACCCACAGAAAAATGTTGTCCTGAATGCCACAAAACTGAGGTACAGCCCAAACAGCTGATGATGGGGAAGCAGCAGATGAAAACCCAGAGTTCAGGAACCTCACGTGGTGAAGTTTACATGATAGTTCGGTGAGTACAAGCATGAATCAAGCACAGTTGCCGGTATGAGCGCCTGATGAGCACATGACAGTGTTCGCGAATTGCTCCATGGTCCCGGTTCTCAAGGCACCGGAATACGTGGCCGAGGATGCGTACACGGCGTCCCTTCCTTCGAACAGGTATCACACGTCAGTTTGGTGCTGATGAGCCACCGAGAAGGCCTATAGACGCGATCCCCGAACGGTGGTGGCACGGGCGGCAAATGAGCAAGTGTCGATGAGGCCAGGACATCATCTCCAAGATGCACTTACTCCGGGCACACTATATCATCATCATCATCATCATCATCATCATCATCATCATCATCATCATCATCATCATCATCATTTATTGTCCCTTAAGGGCCCTGGGTTGGGCATTACATAAGGGGGGTAGCATCGAAATATGCATACAAGGTCACATTTACAAAAGAAAAAGGCAAGTTAGCTCTGTGCACTGCTACGAAACTGAAAATAAAAACAAAAATGACACATGCTACGCGTTTCCGCATGCGTTTGCAAAATATTTGCATTGCGGTTTGACATGCACAAAACAAAGGAAAAGAAAAGAAAATTAATAAGAAACTAATAAACAAACAAACATCATAGTACATGTTTTCAAAATGATAGATGGACTGATTTTGTAAGCAGAATCTACAATAAGGAGTGGTTTCGTTATACATTGTTACGGAGTCGAGGACAGTGGTATTATATAACTTTAGCGGTGCAATATTTACGAAAGAATAAAGAATAAAAAAGGTACAGTACAAAATATTTATTATACACTTGGAAGAAGCAGCAGCTTAAAAGTAAGCTTCCCCTTTCTTGTGTGAGTCGGTGGAGTACAGGTGTCTGTTGTCGGTCAAATTCATTTTGCTAAATGGGCTGATACTAACTGCCTGAATTTCGAATTGTCACGTTGATGTACTATTGATTCGGGAAGCGAGTTCCATTCCTCTATGGCCAAAGGCAAGAAAGACTTCTTGAATGCGGTTGTAGAGCCAGTTATACGCTGCACACTCATGGAATTGAAAAGTCGACATGATGTTCGCACAGGTGCTATTAAAGTGGAGGTTCGAAGGTCAGGACGATTATGATACAGGTTGTGAAACAGTGCCAGACGCAGTGTCTTTCTTCGTTGGGCTAAGGAGTCGAGATTGATGGATGATTTGATCTCCCTAATGCTGACCCAACTACTATACTCAGAACTGATGAAGCGAGCGGCCCTATTCTGGACGCTTTCTAATAATTCAATTAAGTAGTTTTGATGTGGACTCCATATAGCGCAGGCATACTCGAGTTTAGGTCTGACGTATACCTCATAGGCAAGTTTTCGGATGTTACTCGGAGACAAAGAAAGGGAGCGTTTAATGAAGCCAAGAGTTTTCGATGTATCTGCAACTAATTTCGTGATGTGTTCTGGCCAATTGAGCTTGTCAGTGATAAGGACACCTAGATAACGGTACGAATTTATGGATGAAAGAGCCATGGAGTTTAATGTGTATGAATAATCTAGGGTGGAATGTTTTTGTGACACTTGCATGCTCTTGCATTTTGATACATTGAGCTTCATCAGCCAGTGGGCGCACCAGGTTTCTATTACATAAAGGTCTCTTTGCAGAAGTTGCTGATCAGTGGTGGAAGTTATGCGACGATAAAGAACGCAATCGTCCGCAAACAGGCGAATCGTGGACGAAATACCACTAGGAAGGTCATTAATGAAGACTAAAAATAAAAGTGGTCCGAGAACAGAGCCTTGAGGCACGCCTGAAATAACTTGAGATATATTGGAGCAGTGGTTACCAATAACAGTAAACTGAGTGTGGTCTGAAAGGAACGACGAAATCCAGGACAGTACTAAGGGATCTATAGATAGGGAGAAAAGTTTAGCCAACAGGCGTTGATGTGGGACTCGGTCAAAGGCTTTCGAAAAATCTAAGTAGATAATATCAGTCTGCAATAAAGAATCTAAATTTAAGTTAAGGTCAGTCGTGAACTCATAAAGCTGGGTATCACAAGTAAATCCAGAGCGGAATCCATGTTGCTTGCAAAAAAAGAAAGAATTTTTGTCCAGGTGAGAAGCGACTTGTGAGTAAACGATATGTCCTAGCATTTTACAAACAATACACGTTAATAATATCGGTCTATAGTTTGATGGATCAAAACGATCGCCTGCTTCGAAAACTGGAGTGACTTTGCTTAATTTCCAATCATCTGGAATTGAAGAAGTGCATACTGACTGACTGAAAATTGTTTCTAATATCTGGCATGAAATGTCCCTAGTACATTTTAGGATCTTTGTAGTTATGTCGTCAGGCCCCGGAGCACTGGATGGCTTCAAGCTGTTGATAAGTTTAGCTATGCCTTCAGCTGATTTGAAAATTGGAGGCATCTGGCTAAAATTAAGGCTGGGAAAGTGGGGTATATTGCCTACAGGCTCGCGAGTAAATACAGAGGTAAAGTAGTCATTAATAACACCAGCACAAGGATCAGGAGGAATGTTTGTGCCATCTTGGTCATGCAAACTTATATTTTGTGAAGAGTTATGGTTGGGTAACAGAACCTTCCAGAATTTTTTCGGGCTATTTCGAATCATATTTTGCAAGTCCGTATTGACGAATTTTTTTTGAGCGCTTTAAAAGATTTGTGTAAGCACGGAGACATTAAAAGTACCTGTCCCATTTGGATTGACAGTCTGATTTTTCGGCGACCCGAAAAAGACGTTTTTTCCTATTTAGCAGCCGTCGTAGGGCATTTGAAAACCAGTGCTTATCAGCATCACCACGAATACAGATAAGTGGCACATATTATTTCATAAGCGACAGTATTTTTTTCTTGTAAAGCAGCCAGTTAGTGTTAACTGTTTGAGTATGGGCACTCATTCTGAATTGATGAAGAAACTCTTCCAGAGCCTGGTTGATTTTCTCATAGTCGGCTTTGTTGTAGACGTGAATATATGTATATATATATATATATATATATATATATATATATATATATATATATATATATATATATATATATATATAAATCAAGCACGTAGGAAAAATTGTTTTGTAAAGGACTGACGTTTCGGCCGTGGGACCGGCCTTCGTCGGAGTGATGTGAACATGCGACGCTAACGCAATATAAAAAGGCCAGTAACGTATCATAGCGCTGTTAATGGCTGACAAGTGGTTGTTAAAAGCACGTGGGAAACAGTGCGCGTGATAAGACAAGAAAAAAATGAGATTACAAGCGTGCGAAGACGAAACGAATAAAAAATCATTAACAATGAGTAAAAAATTATGAAGCCACATAACATGTGTATCACTGGCACAAACATCAATACACGTCATAGGTACAACTGCGAGCAAATTATCGATAAACATAAACGCGGGTATAACATCTTGTCATGATCCGACAACAAAGCTGAAACAGGGAACTAATTTATCTGCGTGAAAGCATATCGGCAATAATAGCGGTGGTAGTCAAGGGTGTTTAGGAAGCTAAATGGGTAAAAATGAAAGTTTGCCAGCGCTTTCATTCATACCACAAGTGACGGCTTTAAACTTATAGATTAAATACGATTCTCGAAGTTCCCTTTCGTGGTGAGAACGGAAACCCGATTGAAGGATTGTAGCTGTAATACTGTCAAATGAGTGGCCCGGAATGTGCACGTGTTTTGATAGCGGAAGGTTAGGAATAGTGGCAGCATGACATTTGTGGTTGTTAAAGCGATATCTGAAGGGCGTTTCGGTTTGTCCAATGTACTGTAATTTGCAGACGGAACATTCGAGCAAATAGATGCAATTGTAAGTGTCACACGTAAAATTTTCTTTAATTTTATAGGAGAAATCAGAAGCAGTGCTTTTAGCAATGTGTGACGTCGTCATATGCGCACAAACCTTGCATCGTGGTTTATTGCAAGGTCGACAACCAACATTATCGGGAACCCTTGTTTTAGATGAAGTTAGGATGTCATGCAGATTGCGAGACCGTCTGAAGACTACCCGAGGTGGCAATGGAAAGATTACTTTAAGATGAGCACTCTGCGCTAGTATGTTGAAATGTTTTTTGAGAATTGAGGAAACGTTTGGCACCGATGCTGAGTGTGTTAGAAGTAGATTACTTTGTGCCTGAACGGATGGTTGCTTTTTAGCGCTGAACAAATCCTTGCGATTCAGCGCATCGGCTCTTTTGACGGCATCCTCAACAATGCGGGGTGGGTATTCCTGCTGGATCAAAAATTCGCGGAGTTCTACGCAGTTTGCATAAAAGTCTGACTGCTCAGAGCAAATTCTCTTAAAGCGGAGTTTGATTGATATGCGGGGTTTAACGTCCCAAAACCACCATATGATTATGAGAGACGCCGTAGTGGAGGGCTCCGGAAATTTCGACCACCTGGGGTTCTTTAACGGAGTGCCTGACTGTACGGTATACTGGTTTTCCAATGTTTAACATGTGAACTTTTGAAGTGAAGATAACGGTGCCTGTCTGTAGGTTTCCTGTAAAGCCTAGTGGTTAGTTTGTTGTCAGAGATGCAAACTGTGACGTCCAGAAAGTTAACGGTAGAACGAGAGTATTCATGCGAAAGCGAAATAGATTGGTGAACAGTGTTGAAATCAGCTATAAAAGATAAAAGTTCATTTTCACTATGGGGCCAAAAAAAAAAGGTCATCTATAAATCGCTTGTAATAAAGAGGCTTTAACGCGCAGTTCCTCATAAAATCATTTTCCAGAACAGACATGAAAAGGCTAGCGTAATTAGGTCCAACGCGAGTGCCCATTGATGTTCCACTTACTTGAAGGTAGTGGGAACCATCAAATTCAAAATTATTAAGCTGTAAGATTAATTTCAGGAAGGTAGCTAATGTATCACTTCCAATGGGCTTTTCATCAGATAATTCTTCGTACGCTTGAATTGCTGCCTGGATGCCATCGCTATGGGGTATATTGGTATACAGTGAAACCACATCTAATGTCACGAGCACGGAATTATCTGGTATCACGAGTTCATCAATGTCCAACAAAAAATGATTTGTGTCTTTGAGATAGGACGAGAATTTACATGGAAGGCTACTGATTATTACGTCAACGTAGCGGGAAAGTTGCTCCGTAACAGTGCCAATGCCCGAAACAATGGGGCGTCCAGGACAGTTTTCTTTATGTATTTTGGGCAGCAAGTAGAACCTGCCATGGACGGGACTGAGCGGGATGAGGAAGCGTACTGCCTTGTCGCCTAATTGATTAGCTTTTACGAGATCGTTGACGGTATCTTGGACAACTGCTTTAAACTCTTCAGTGGGATCATATTCTGGGTGCTTATAAAAAAACGGATTGTTAAGCTGTCTATGGGCTTCGCTTATATAATCCGTTTTATTCATTATAACAACGGCACCACCTTTGTCGGCTGGCTTTATCACGATATCACTGCGTTTAGCCAGTGATGAAATAGCTTGATTTTTTTGAACTTTTACTTCCGGGTCCTATGTTAGCACTTCATTGTTTTCATTTACTATGGATCCCGGTAACAGCACGAGGAAAAATATCAACTGGAGGTATCCGTCAACCCCAATTTATACGACGGTATTGGGCGACTCCCAAGTCAAGTACCTTTTCCATCACTTCGACCCTAACCGCACCGCTACTCCAGCTTTTGTGTGGCAGTCTGGAGCCTGCATAACTGACGCGCGTGTGCTCTTAGACTTTGTCCCATCGTCAACTACGACCCTCATCCTCAATGTGGGTACCAACGACTTGACCTCTTCTACCGGACGTGTATTCTTCGAAAACTACCGTGACCTGCTTCACATCATAGCCAAGGAACGACCAGGTATCACTCGCGTGTACGCCAGCCTGGTCTTGCCGAGAGCTACGAATCGTCATTATGGCCCCTGTGTATCCCAGCGGCAACAAATGTTGCCATTACAAAAATTGGCGCTAAAAATCCCGTGTGAGTCGCCCAACATTGAAATTTCGTTTTTTAATTTCGCGCTATATTGAAGTTTCAAAATATGCTAACTAGATGGCGCTACCTGTATTGACAACTACACCACAACACAAAGAAGAATGGCGTCTTTCTCAAAATGCCCGCCACGGTAAGTACCTCCGCGTTACAGTGATATCTCACTATTTATCTGCTATTTCTTCATTTAAAATACTTCTGGTGTTATAGAGGAATTCACAAGGAATATTTTGATGTCAATTGCTCTAGGAAAAACCCATTAGAAGTATTTATTTTTCGTCCGTGCTGTGTTGCGTACACATATGTTGCCGTCAGGAATACGGAGCTCCTGAGTTTCACGGATTGGTCTGTGGGGCTGCTTTTCGTTCGCTTCGTTTTATAAAACGCCGCGGTTTGCCACAAAAATTTTGGTTTCTAATGCAACACAATATCTCTCTGCAGGCGTGGATTAACGGACACCGAAATCCAGGGAATTTTGTTCGACTGGCCAAGTGGGAGCGAATGCTCCGATTTGGAAAGCTCCGACGATGACCAGGCGGAAAGGACCGCAAGTCAACATTGTAGTGGGACAGATTCGTCTAGCTTGTCAGACACCAACGGTCTTGATGTCGAAGAGTCCACTACTGTGAAGAACAAGATAAAAAAGACCTGGCACTGGGTAAAGAAGGACCTTGACATCAACGAAGGCTTTCCTACTAGCATTCTAAGTCCAAGAGTCTCTGCGGCAGAGGCTAAAACGCCTTTGAGTATGTTTACTAAGCTGGTAGATGAGGATTTGATCGAACATCTGACGTTCGAAACAAATCGATTCCGGGTCCAGAGCAACCGCACGAGAGTAAAACCTGTGACGCTTGAAGAAATGAGGAAATTGCTCGGTATGATCCTCTACATGTCTGTAGTGTACATGCCATTCAGGCGCATGTACTGGTCCCGGTTATTGCGCCAATCCCACATTGCGGACTGCATGCCAAGAAATCGCTTTGACGAAGTGATCTCACTTTTCCACGCGTGCAACAACGACACCGAGAAGAAAAAGGAAGAAGATGGCTACGACAAGCTTTACAAGGTCCGTCCGTTGCTCAGCCGGCTGAATTATAATTTCCAGGGTGCTGCAAAAATGGAAGATTGCCTTGCCGTGGATGAAATGATAGTACCATTCAAAGGCCGACACAGCCTCAAGGTGTACATGAGCAAAAAGCCTAGAAAGTGGGGCTACAAAGTGTGGACACTGGCTGGGAGATCCGGCTATGTGTACAAAATTGAGCTTTACGGAGACAATTTAGTCATTGACCCAACGGATTTGTCAAATGACATCGGAGAAAGTGGAAAAATTTTTGTGCGACTCTCTGAGGGCTGTGAAGGGAAAGAAATATTTTGTGACAACTTCTTCGCTTCAGCAGATCTTCTAGTTGAAATGAAGGGTCGCGGATTAGGATGCACAGCAACCATGAGAAACGGCAGAATTGGACGCTGCCCCCTAAAAACCGAAAAATGCCTGAAGGGGGAAGGCCGTGGATCTTTTGATTTCCGATCAGAAAAGGACAGTGGCATTATTATTTGTCACTGGCATGACAACCGCAGCGCCATGATTGGATCGAATACCCATAGTGTAGGTCCTGTGGGCGTCTGCCGGCGATACGACAAAAAAGCAAAAACATACACCGAAGTTTCCCGACCAAGCTTGGTAAGAGTATACAACCAAAGCATGGGTGGTGTCGACAGAGCGGACCAGCTGCTTTCTTTCTACCGCAATGAGTTGAAGACGAAGAAGTGGTACAAGAGGATCATTTTTCACTTGCTAGACCTTGCTGTTGTGAACAGCTGATTGTTGTACCGCGCCGTAAAGGATTCGGAAATCCAGCTCGCAGAATTCAAGCTTCAGGTCGCCTTTGGGCTAATGAAGTCGGAAAAGTCACACGAAGCGCCCCTCCATGACCGTACTCTGACCGAAAATTGGCTGTCGAACCGAGCTTCGGATGTACCCACTTCCGTCAGGTATGATGGGGTAAATCATCTGTAGAACGTTCCTGCAGTTGCTTGTGCAGCTCCCGATTATTCCACCGCCGAGCTTGATCGAGACACGCTCGCTTCTGGAACCTCGACCGTTCCTGCAGTAGCTGGTGCCGCGCTCAACCTACTGGGGTGTTCTTGGCTGAGGATTGAGTGGTTTTAAATTTCTGTCTTAGAGTCCGACTCTAGCTTGTTTCTGAGTCTAACCATATCTCCAGTGCTCATGTCGACTACTTCTCCTGGCCAGGCGCGATCCGCCTGGCCAGCGTCCTTGCCGTCTAATGAATTACCGCTAGACTCCTTTTTCCGCAGTGGTATCGACAGCATTCCCGTAGCACTGGTACCTACAAATGGAGGCTTCATCAGACTTTCAAACCCTCAGGTGGTTCAAAGGAACTCAAGACAACTTCAAATCATTTCCAGACCATCACATATGTGCGCCCATTTGGGCGAGGAGGTATCGTGTGTAGGTCGCCGGATCAGACCTGCGTGCAGGATCTTCTCAAATGCACCTCCTTTGCTGCTACCCCGGTGAGTGCTTTTATTCCGCCTCACCTTGCATGTACCAAAGGCCTTGTACGGGGAGTCGACTCCAAGCTGAGTCCAGCTGAGACCCTAGACAGGCTCTCTGGAGCAGGCGTAATTTCAATTTACCGGTGTAATCGCCTAGTCGACAACCAGAGGGTACCAACCGAATCTGTTATCGCGACATTTGTGGGCACAAAATGCCCATCAGAAATAAAATTATGGCCACTGATCTTCCGAGTAGAACCCCTCGCTTCTCGTCCGATTCAGTGCAAGAACTGCTGGAGATTCGGCCACAGTGCGCGAGGATGTAAATCTAACGTTCGTTGTCGCACCTGTGGAGAGAGTCATCCTTCAAGCAATTGTACTGCAACAGTGGAAAAGTGTTGTCTCTGTGGGGGCAGTCACTGCGCCGACAACTCTGACTGTTCCGCTCGTTCCCGGGAGGTTCAAATCCTGGAAGTTATTGACCGCCGCCGCTGTTCTCGAAGGGAAGCCATTGACATAGTTAGAGACAGGGCTTTTGGATACTCTGGTATAACAGCGCGCTGCACTTCCAGTATGGACTCAACCCTATCGCAGGCTATTGAAACTGCTGTGGAAAAGGCAGTGAGTAAGGCAATGGATAAACTAATATCTAACCTTTCCGACTGTTTAGTGCAAATTCTTTCAAGCCAGATTGGACAAACAGTACAGACTAGTACATAACCTGCAGTATTACACATTACTAGTGACGCCACACAGCTACGCAATGTAGTGATGGACGAACTTTCTGCATCTGCAGGCAAGGCTAAGCAGCCAGGAACACAGGTGCACTTGGACCGACATTCGCCTCGGCCGAGTACAAGTACTGATACAGATATGGAACTCGATATACGAAGTAATAAACGTACCAGATCCCCTATCTTCACCGATCTCAAGTCCAAATCTAAACGGAATGAATCAGCTATTTCGCGTGAAGATGCTAACAAGGGCGCGACATGCGCCTCTGCGGTGCGCTCAACACCATAGGTCAGTTGAGGGTACTGCAGTGGAACTGCCGTTCTATATTCTCAGCCTCAACCGACTTACATTACTTTTGCAATAATTTTAATCTTGATATTATAATTCTCCAAGAAACTTGGCTTACACCAGATAAAAATTTCCATCTTGCAGGTTTTCGTTCTTTTCGATTAGATCGCCCATCACGTGGTGGTGGTTTAATGATCCTTGTATCAAGTAAATTATGCCATAAAGCGAAAATTTCTTTCAGAATGTTAGACTTCGATTGCGAATTATTAGCATTAGACTTGTGTCTCCCCGGATACCACCCTTTTTCAATCGTAAATTGCTACTTCCCCTCCGGTGTGCAAAGCACGCGTTATCTTGACAGCGTTTTGGTAGCATGTAGAAAGGAAATTGTACTCACAGGAGACTTTAATTCACACCATTTGTCTTGGGGTATAAGGACAGATTCTTGTGGTAGGCGACTGTGGGAATGGACTATTGATCACAACCTCTCCTGTCTGAATAAAGGTCATGTAACATTTGTCCGAGGTCAAACTAGCTCAGTATTGGATTTAACGTTTTGCTCCAATGCAATCAAGATTTTGTCATGGGCTGTTCTGGATTCGGCAACTAACAGTGACCATCTTCCTGTAGTTTTTGACATTACTTGTCCAACAATAACTTTAGATCAGCCAAAACGCACATACATCAACCAAAGCAAATTTCAAGCCTGCCTCCGTTCTGCCATTTCCAAGCTTGGAAATGCCAGTACTAAGGAGATTGCATCTACGATAGGTTCAATGCTGGAGGGATCTAGAAAAAATTCTGAATTTTCTATTCCATCCAATAAACGATCCTCCTCTCGTTGGTGGAACGATGAGTGTACGCGCGATTATAGAAGACGAAAAGCCGCTTGGAAAAAACTTCTTCTTAATCAGAGCCCAACAAACTGGAAAGACTATCAATTCCTTGCTGGCGTATTTAAGCGTACAGTGAACCGCGCGAAAGAAGAATACGAGAGTAGACATTTTGATTATCTTTCTAAATCAAAGAATAAGCGTGCTTTGTTCGCTTATCTTCGGACAAGAAAAGTACTACCAGCACTTTTAACGTTGCAGTCATGTGTCTTGACGCCGGTAGAAATGAACACCTCTCTAGAAGACATAGCGCAAGGTTTAGAACGCCGCTTCACTGCGAATTTTTTGGCTATTCAGTCCATTCTGGTAAACTTGCATGAATTTCCAGAAGTTTCTTTAGCTGAATTGAATCAGACAGTATTATGCTTACCGAGGACGGCTCCCGGACCAGATGGGATTACGAACTCTATGTTGAAATGTTTACTCCAGGAATCGCCTAATCTTTTGCTAGAACTAGTGAATTACTCTTTGGGGAATGCATAGATACCTCCAGAATGGAAACTTGCCAAAATTGTATTGTTGCTAAAAAATGAAAATGATGCATACACGTTGGATAACATAAGGCCGATCGCACTGACATCAAACTTAGTGAAATTGGTTGAGAGAATCATCAATATACGAATTAATGAACTTATTACCATGAGGTCTATTCTAAGTCCCTGTCAAATTGGGTTCAGGGCTGGTTGTTCAATTTGGGATGCCCACGTTGACTTAGAAAGTAGGCTTCAATTAGCTCGGCTACATAAAAAATATGCTGCTTTAGTTACCTTAGACATCGCTAAAGCATATGATACCGTGGAGCACTGTATTTTGATAGATCGATTAGAATACCTTGATTTTCCATCATACATAGTAGCGTTGGTTCACAATTTTCTCGCAGACAGGAAATTTTATAGTTTTAAAGATGGATTTTCATCATCTACTCACACCCAAACGAGGGGAGTACCGCAAGGCTCGGTGCTTTCCCCGGTGCTATTTAATTTACTAATGAGCACCATCCCACGTAAACAGGATATAACAACTTATGTTTATGCAGACGATATCGCATTTTTTGCAATGGCAGATAACATTCAGACCTTATATGAACGGCTGCAGACTTACCTTAATATATTGGAGAGCTGGCTCGATGGCAACAGCTTTTTACTTAATCCAAGTAAATGTGCCCTCCTTGTTTTCCCGCTGCAATACCCTGTGAACATCTCTCTGTCTTACCATCATGAGGATATACCACAGGTGGAATCTGTTAAATACCTTGGAGTAATTTATCACACATCGCTTAACTGGCGATATCATATCAAATATATCGCCGGAAAAGGTGTGCGGGCCATTGGCATATTACGTAGGCTAAGTAACTACCGCATAGGTATGAGAAGAGACACATTATTAATGATATATCGCAGGTATGTTCGTCCCATTTTGGAATTTGGTTGTGTGCTTTTCTCTGGAGTTCCAGCTTACAAGTTGCGGCCTCTAATTCTTCTGGAAAGAGAAGCTTTACGCTTATGCCTTGGCCTTCCCAAAACAGTCGCCAACAATGTGTTATATCTCGAATCGAGAGTCCCTCCGCTTTCTTGTCGAATTCGCCTTCTGACTGTTCAGACATTCTTAAGAATTTATGAATCACCATTACGACATTCAGAAACAGCCTTTATTCCCACCCCGGAATCATTTTTTGCTGCCAGATGGCCGCGATTTCACACGCCACAAATTATATTTGTGCAAAATTTACTGGAGCCTCTAAACGTACGTATATGCGACATCATGCCGAGTCGTTATAATTCAGCCCAGGTAGAAATTCAATTCGACGACATTTTTCCTAATAATGCCAAATTACTTCCCCATAATATTTTGGATGGTTTACTCCAAGATCACCTGCGCCGTATTACAACGAACGTTATTATTGCTACAGACGCATCGCAATACGACGAAAAGTCAGGGGTTGGTATTTTCAGCCCTATTTTAAATTGGATTTATTCCCTTCGACTACCCGATTTCATACCCGTTTTTGTGGCTGAGTTTCTGGCAGTAGTGCTCGCCTTACGCAAGTTAGATACAGCAATTACATCAGCTGTCATAATAACAGATTCTCTATCTCTTTGTGCGGCACTTTCTGTTGGTGCTGATAATCACGTAACAAAGGCGTTCCGTGCATTAGTACCTGCGCATTTAAGAAAAGTGCGATTAGTTTGGGTGCCTGGACATAAAGGTTTGTTTCTTAATGAAATAGCAGATTCCTTAGCTAAGTCGTCAATCAGCGAACCAATTCTACCGCTCTGTCCATCATCCGCTTATGTGACTGCTGCTCGATTCCGCAGACGTACGCTTATGCAAGTCTTTAAAGGTTCAGCACTAACAAACTCTACAGAATATCGCCATTTATTATATC